GTGTTCGGCATCACCGTACGTATCTGTCACCCTGGAGGCCGTATGACGTGTGTTGGATAAGCACGTGGCATCCATCTTTCGATGACTCTTATCGGGTCTTCGCCACGGGCAGGATGCCCAGGAGGGGACAATAGTGGGACCCGCCCCCTCCTGGGGACACAGGTAGCTCGATGATTCTTCACGCTGTGTGCCAGGCCGTGTCACAGACACTGGGCTCTCCCTGGCTGCCCAGTGTTTGAAGCTGTCCTCCGTACCAAAGAACCCCACCCTGTGTGATTCTGCTGGGAGTGGGGGCTCACCCCACTGGGAGCCCCGGAGGCCAGACGCTGGTCCCCTGAGTCCAAGGGAGGGTGGCCTGCCATCGAGTGTGGCCGGTTGGACGTTGCCACCCAGGATGCTGAGGCCAGAGCCAGGGACCCAAAGAAGCCGGTCACTTCAGAGCTCCCTTTAGTGTTAGGACATTTGCACTGAGCCCGGAAGGAACAGTGGGAGGCTGCCGGGTCCTGCCCGGGGCAGCTGTGAGGGCTGCCATAGATGGGGCGTCACTCACGGGCGTCGCTGGAGGTTAGCAAAAGGGTGAACGCCAGGCAGGGGGCCTGCCGTGCGAGCTGGCAGGACAGAGGGGCTCCTGAGATGTCTGGTGTGTGGGGCCGGGTCCTGGCTGGGGACAGACGCGAGCGGCGGCGACAGTCCATGCTGACTCACTGTGTGCGTGTCACCCTTATCGTTCCATTTTATTCAGTGCCCTACCTGTACGCGGTGCTGCGCAGGTGTGAGCTCTTGAGTCTGTGACTAGTTACCATTCTCGTGGCCATTTTGCAGAAAGGGGGCTGAGGCTCGTCCCGAGTGACTCGCCCCTGGTCACGGCACGAGCGCACAGTGTGGCCAGGCCCGCATCTCAGCCCCGGCCGGCCCCACACCTCCTCTGTCTGCCCCGCTGCCCCCGACACACAGCTGGGGCCTTAGTGAGCCGGCCGCAGACTGGCGCAGCTGGTGTGTCCTGTTAGTCCAGTGTCCTGTTCACTCCACCCCTTACCCGGCTTAATTTTTTCTTATTTTTTTACCATTTATCCCTGACATCATCTTCTAGATTCGTTTGCTTCATTAGAACCTGAGTGCCAGGAAGGCAGGGACTCAGCCTGTCTTTCCGCAGCCGTTTGCCGCGTTCCCTGGACAGCCTGCCATGTAGTCATTGCTCACCAGATATACTGTCATATCAGTAACAGCGGTGACGTCCACGTGCATGGCATGTGCCGAGTGGAGGCGTGTGTTAACTAGCTCGGGCTCCGGGGCTGCCGTGGTCCCCACGTGGGAGAGGAGCTGATGGAGGCACAGACAGGCGAGGGACTAGCAAGCTCCAGGTCACACAGCCTAGCAGTGACACGGTGACAGTTCTGATGCAAGTGTCCTGGCTCCAGAAATCAGCCCTTTTGTGCTAGGCTTTGCCGCCTCCTACGATGGATGAGCGATGAGTTAAAACAGATTTATACGAGCTATAAAAACGTACGTAGTAATGCATTTCACAGTAAATAGCGTATAAAAATAAATTTTGTAGATAATGAGGTCATATTTTTTCTCTAGTTAAGAAAGGATAGTTAATGACAGATAGATAGCTGGATTTTTTTTTTTTTTTTTTAAACAGAGGCTCCGATTCCTGGAAGATACGTTACTAAGGCATCCTATGTAATCTACCAGTCCATAAATAATACCGGGTTTTTAAAGGCTCGTAAATCTGTCTGGTACATGTTTCAAACAGCATATTATACGTCTCCGTTATTATCCTTGTAAGACATACCTATATCTCATGGAAGAAACGATAATAGTAAACAGATGTTGATTTTCATCCTAATTTATTTACCGGTCAAAAAGCTCAGTTCAGTGACTAAGAATATATAGAGTTAGAGTTGGAAGTAACAGCTGAACTGGAACCAGGCTTTCAACGGGAAAAAAAACGGCTCGGGTTTTACTTTCTGATTTAGTTCTTGGTCCAAATGAGACTGCGTTAGACCATAAGCTCATGTTCTGCAAGGCTTTTATTTTAACTTAAAGAATGGACAAGTTACAAACACTGGGGAACAGTCTGTGGGCGGGAAAAGGCCAGCAGCATGGAGTTAATGAGCTGAATTCTTTCCAGACAGAGGCAGCAAAACTAAAGTGGTTCAACACCAAATTTCCCTAATAATGAAAGAAACTCATGATCATTTTTAAATGTCGATCTGTTTTCATCCATGCTCCGATGTTGGCTTTTTCATTCATACCATTGGTATTTGCAGCTCTACATTTTTCATGGTTTTCTCTCCGTATGGAGAAGGATGGGCTTTCTGCCTCCTCGAAGCTTTTTTTCAAATACTCGGTTATGGGGTCACACCCGGTTCTCTGATGCATACGTGTGAGAACCCGAGACTGAATCGGAGTGTTGGTTTCGAATGTGCTTGCTTCCAGTAGTTATTAGTGAATATATGCCTCGATCTGATAAAAAAGTATGTTCAAAGGCAGCACTTAGCACAGCGGTCGATGGCGATGGTGGAAATGAACGTCGACTTTAGTGCAAGGAGGACAGGGAGAGTCGGCACCGAAGTCCCGATCGCTGTGGCCACGTCTTCCACTTATTTCCCCCTTCCTGTCACGCGCCCGCATTTGATCATTTGTGATTCCCCGCGACGCTTGCCGTGCTGTGGCGTTCCTGCCTTTCAGGTTAGAAGTGGTTCTGGGAACGGGCACTATGGAAACTGACGGCTGACACAGCCCACGCCTGAGTGTCATTTTCTGTTGACGTGACATTTTCTTACTTTCCCCTCGATATTTCATTTGAAAATGCTCAGTCATTCATCCAATTACATATAAAAGAAGCTTTGCATCTAAAAGTGCCTTAAGCTGGTGATATGGCACTGTTTAGGAAATCTGTGGTATTAGATAGAAAGGATCTGGATTATTATAATTCTAAGTGTAAAAACTGGGATGAGATCATTTGATGGAAGATTTTACCGTGACCTCTTAAATTATGTTATCTCAGAAGTGCGAATACATATAAGTGTGTGCGTATCTGTTTGGATGTTCTGTATTTATTCACACACAGAACGTATTTATACACACATACATGTAACAAGAATAAAAACTCTTGGGGCCTTTTGAGGATGAGTAGGTGAAAATTTATTGATAATTAAACCGACCTCGGCTTCATCAAGAGTTAACCAAAATGGGGCTCTGAGTGTCAAGGGAGAACTTACCATTTCTGAGGCGTAGTCATTCGCACTCCTGTGGAGACAGCCATCGACAGCACAGTCGTTTTTGACGTGTTTCTGTATGGAGATGGCGGGGTCAGAGAGCTCGATTGCCATGTTTGTGGTCACCAACTGAAGCGAACACGAAATCCATAAATACGTGACGCAGAGGACAAAAAGCAACGGAGCTGAGAATGAGTACAATCCGCTAGTCATGTGCAGAATTTATTTCAGTCCAGAGTTTGACTCCCCCTTGTGCTGACTAAACCTTTGCCTGCTGTAGTCCCTGGTGGCAGGGGGTGTCCCAACGCCTTTGCCTCTGCCAGCCAGGGGCCCTGCAGCCTTTGCACAGACGGTCCTGCTCAGGTGTCACACCCGCTGACGCCTGTTCCCTCCGACTAGGAAGGATGGTACTTGTTCAGGAGAGAAATTTGGAGGTGCATTCACTTATCCTCAAGACATTTTTAAAACCAAACTACGTTTTAACTACGTTCAAGGGTTTTTAAAGCATGTACGTAGCAACGTCTGGCATCTTGACATATTTTCGCTTTTCCGGTTCCTTTCCAGTCTCTCTTCATGTACGAGTTTGTCTCACACAGTTGAAATCCTGTATTTTCCCATTTAACATAAAGGTGTTTCTGTTTATTTATTAAAATTTCAATTGCTACGTAATAGCTCGTTTGCTATGTACAGTCTTATAAAACTTTTTTTAATACTTGCCATGTTTCTTGTCTAGCTATGTCATATTAGCATGCTCTCATAATTATTTGAAAGTTTTAAGCAAACGTTAACATTATAAGTTTTTTTCACATGTGAACTGTATTCTTGTATAATCCCTCGTGTACCTGTATGTGTGTGTATGTGCATGTATACATGGCAATTTTTTAAAAAGACAATGAAAATTAAGAACTTTAAGATGGGAATGGAATCTATATTAGTGCAGTAATATTTCAAATATTTAGACATCTGCTCTTAAAGTCTTTTGTTGGTAGCAGTTACCGGGAAATAGTATAAAACATAGAACATACTAACATTGGTTGGGGGTGTTCAAATATATTAGGTATCTGACTTTTGGCTTGTGACAACTTGAAATATATTGAATAATGTTTTTCTTCAAAGCTAACATTCATAGCCTTAAAATTATTAATCGCTGTCTCTTCACGTACATGTGTGCATGTTTATTCAACCACGGTTGTCTCATTTCTGAATCTTAGTTCCTCCTACGTTTATAAATTTTGAAATTCCGTCATTATGCTATTACTATCGTTGCTTGAATACTTAAGGATTATATTTCTCGTATTTCTACCCCAAACTCTTCATTACTATGGTGAGTTAGTGTTTTCAGGGCACTTTAAAAAACGTTTTTTTCACCTGAGGTGGATTGGGGAGTATATCCTCTGGTTTAGCCGAAGTGTGTTATTTTCCATGAGCTACCTGGGTGTGTCCAGACTAGAGACTTGTGATGCCTCTGCGTTTTCTCTGACTACTGCCCCCTCCCTGTCACCTTCGCAAATATGCAAATCTCGGGTCAGCTCCAGGAGTCGCTGAAGACCCTTCCTGGAGGGGGCCGGCAGCTCTCGGGGTCTGGGTGCTGGGGAGGCCGTGTGGGTTCAGCCTCAATCCTTCCTTTCTAGTAGCTCCAGAAGAGAAGAGAGAAGAATGCAGTGTGAAGAGTAAGATGTCGGGGCTCTAAAAGTTCCTGCGTTTTGATATTGTCTTTTAAAAATATATATATATTGTATTTTTATGTATTTCTCTTCTTTGATAACATCCTTTTAGGAACTGCCCCAGGTCCTCCTCCTCCACGAGCTGTCCAAGCAGGAAGGCGCGTGGACCATACTCCCGCTGTTACCACAGTACGTTTAACTCCCGCTGTTACCGCAGCACCTTTAACTCCTGCCGTTACCGCAGTACTGTTACTGCAGTATGTTTAACTCTTGCTGTTACTGCAGCACCTTTAACTGGTGCTGTTACTGCAGTACGTTTAACTCCCGCTGTTACCGCAGTACTGTTACTGCAGTACCTTTAACTCCTGTTGTTACCACAGTACTTTTAACTCCCGTGTTACCACAGCACCGTTACCGCAGCACTTTAACTCCCGCTGTCACCACAGTACTGTTACCGCAGCACCTTTAACTCCCGCTGTTACCATAGTACTATTACTGCCTTAACTCCTGTTGTTACCACAGTACTTTTAACTCCCATGTTACCACAGCACCGTTACCGCAGCACCTTTAACTCCCGCTGTTGCCACAGTACTATTACTGCGATACGTTTAACTCTCGCCGTTACCTCAGTACTTTTTACTCCCACTGTTACCACAGTACTGTTACTGCAGTATGTTTAACTCCCACTGTTACCGCAGTACCGTTACCGCAGTACTTTTAGCTCAAACTATGTCAACTCTTGACGCTTCCACTTGTAAGCTCCCTACTTTTCTTATCAAGAGGATGTTTTTTTTCCCTAAGAGCCAGTAAATGAAGTAAATTTGAACTCAACTTTTTATAATTACATTAACCAAATTTCTTGATGACCAACACCTAATTATGAGCAGCTTTTTAAAAGATAAAAATGTCTATATATTTGAAAATTATCTGTCCTCTGAGCTGGTGCTGTTACGGAGAGAATTAACTTTAAGAACTTTAGCCGTTGTCTAAACCATTAGTATCTGGCTTTCCTATAAGCTGGAACTATTAATTGAAGAAAGATATTGGGGAAAAATGTAGATTTCTTGCCATTGTATATGTCCTTCATCCATTTCCTGCCTATCAGTGTTAAACCTTATTATGAACTCACTTTATAAAGTGATTACTATAACCTGTTTCCTTTTGTCAGCTTTTCTGTAACGTATAGCAGAAATTCATCATGGATCTTCTTCTGTGAAGAAGAGACGAGAATACAGGTTCCGAAACTCTTAGAAACACTCAGAAGATATGACCCGTCAAAGGTGAATACAGTTTCAATACCAGTATTTATCTTTTGGGAAAAATGCTTAAAAGAAGATTTAATTTTCATTAAGAGGGTTTTCAATCTAATAAAAACACTTAATATAAAATGAAAAAGAACAGAATAACAGTTGACTATCTGGATAGCGATGTTAAATAATTCTCTTTCACTTCTGTAGCTTTCAGAGGGATGGAACTTACAATGAGCTGGAAGAAAATCTATTTATATGTGCTAGTAATTTCGGAGTTAAAACACTATGACCCAGAGTTCAGAAATAAGTTTAAATTGGTTCTTTCTCTTCACGAAGGCTGACCACATGTTATCTTAGATAAGAAATATTTTTTAAGTATCAGCTATTTATCAAGCACTGTCACAGCAGGGGCTCCGACAAACGGACAAAGATCCTGACACACGGACACTACAGGGGAGCAGGAATCGGACAGGATCAAAGACGCAATGACAGTTGAAAGTGAGGCATCTTTTAATGAGGAAACATAGGGTCCTGTTAGAAGCACATAGCCGGGCATCAGATGTAATGTGGGACGGTCAGGAACGGAAGTGGCATTTACTCCGAGTCTTGTAGGAGGAGTAGGAGTTAACAGGCGAGAAAGAGAGTGTTCTAAGCAGAGGGAGCACTATCTGAGGAGGCCTGGAGACTCACAGCTACTTTCATATTTTCAAATTTTATTTTGTGCAGATATGATGGAGCCACTGGATCTTGTTTATCTCTCAATCTGATGAGCGTGTCAAACACGTAGTAGGTGGTCGATAAAATATTCGTGGGCAACCGAAGAACCGTGTAATGACCCAGCTGGGCTTGGGTCAGCACCTCAGGAAGCTAGGGGGCTGCCGGGGGAGTGGGGGGCTGCTGCGAGAGTAGAGCCACCTTTTCTGTTCTCTTGGAGAAGCTCGGGTTTTACCCCGATCGCTTTACGGGGTGCTTTAAACTTGGAACAAGCACGATGGGTCCTTTGTGGGAAGACACAGATAAAACTGAATGGGAGACTTGTTAGGTTAAAAAAATAATTCCTTCAAAGTAGAGAAGAATTATGACCGTGCCTCATCCCATCTTTTCGGATGATGCTAACCAGCATCTATGTATTTTTTGCCATGGTTTATGTAAAACATTTGTTAGGCTTTTATGTTTCCCTTTGACTTGGGAAAAACTCCCAAATCTTGAGGACGTAGGAGTTTTACTCTCCTCCTAGTGTTCATTTCACCTGGAGATTATTTTTCTATTACCTGTCACTCTAGTTCTGTACAGAGGGTGGTGACTCACTCTGCATTTTAATGGAAATTGGAATGATGAATTCAAAAGGTCAAAGCAAGTTCATGAAAAGCAAGAACAGGCAAAATGAGATGTTCCCCCTTTTTGTGAACTCTGCCATGTGACAAAGAAACTTAAGATGCTTTCTCTTTCCGAAACTAGCATTTGGGAATAAAAATTCCGTAATGTTGAAGTTTGGTCAAACCGGTGTGGTTTGTTCCCCCCTGCTGTTTGAAATTTTAGAAAAAAAATTAAACAAATACCTGGCTTTGATAGTGGCACAAACTACATAAAAACAGTAGGATATAATAGTGTGTTCGAGCATCAGTTATTTGGTTTGATTCTTTCCCTTTAATATTTGTCATTCTTACCAATGCAAATTTATGCTGTTAAACACCATTTTAAATGGAAAATGTTAATCTTTATTAAAGTAATGAATCTTTGTTAAATTGCCTCTTTAGGTGATTTCTAGAAATTTCCATATCTTGATGAAGTCTTTCTTTTTTTCCCACTGTATGCTTTTAATACGAGTGTGCATTTGCTGAAATGTCTAGACTTTTTCTGTTTTTAGTAGAGGTGAAACCCTGGTACTGGTAAAGAGTCATTCTCAGGTCCTAGTAGAACCCCATCTGGGTTATTCTGTTACACTTTATCTTGATAATAATTGTCTTTATTATGAAGCCATTAAGAAAATCATTAAGGATTTTCACAGATTCTGTATTAATCTCCCTCTTAGTTTACAACATAGTACACGACAAAAATATTGAAAAGCACTTTTTTATACTAGATGATAGCCGAACACTGCCGTTAGGAGTTAAAACATGAAAACGTGTTTGGGATAAAATTATGTGTGGAACAGGCAATTATAACAGTGAATATTAGTAAAGAAGGCGCTAAAATTCACCGAAATGTTTATTTCTTTCAATAAGCTGTATCGACATGTTATGTTAAATGTGATGGTTTTCTTACTGGTTAATGTTTAGGAGTTTGATAAAGTGCTATATTATTGATTTAAAAAAGGACGTTGAGTGTCCCAGGGCCATTCCCCTTGCCCAGTGGTGACTGAGACTCTGGCTGTGTGTGGGACACAAGCAGAAGGAGGCTCTTAAGAAAGGGTAGTGCATCCTTTCCACTTTTGTTTTCTGATGGGGAATAGGGACGGAGGTGGTGACGGCTGGATAAGAGAGAAAGTATGTAGAACTTTTAGGACTTACGGTGCTGGATTTAAATTGCGTGTTTTAGTATCTTTCTTACGGGTGGCTCCTTTTTAAAGCTCCCTCATTTAACCGACACTGGTGAGCACCCAGCACGTTAGGTATTCTGAAGGTTGAGAGGGTACGGAATGAACCACACCACTGCCCACGAGCAGGGGGCATTGCTGTTGCGAGGGAGGTAAGCTGTAAGCCACACTGCAGATAACGTGTCAGGTGGCCATATGTGCTACAGAGAAGAGAAAGCAGAACGCGGGCGATAAGGGGTAGATGCGGGGGCGGGCTTCCCATTCTCCGTGGGGTGTTCGGGGCACAGCTCGCTGATAGGTCGCATTTGAGCAGAGCATGAAGGACCTGAGAGGGGACGAGCCATGCGCTCCCTCCTCCTGTATCAAAGCACCTGCTTAACACCTCCACGTATCTGTCTAACAGGGACCTCAAGTTCAGCATTCCGCACTGAACTCTTGATGGCCCTTTAAACCCTTCCATCTTCGGTCTTCCCCGTCTCAGGCTTGGCGTCACCATCCATCCAGGTGCTCACGCAAAAGTCCTAGGACGCGTGACCGATTCCTTTTTCCATCAACCCCACGTTGGCAGCTGAGCCAGCCTCCAGAAACACATTCATCTTCTCTCCAGATTGAGTACCGCCCCCGAGGTCCAGCTTGCTGTCTTCTCTTGCCTTGACCATCGGTAGAGCCTCCTAACTGGTCTCCTGGTTTCTTGCCACCCTAATGATCTAGGCTCTCTCTCATTCAGATGACAGCCATTCACCTGCTCAGAAAGGTCCAGGGTTTCCCATCTGAGGTAGATTCACTAGATGTCCCATTTTTGCCTGGCAGAGACTGTCTTCTGTCACTGTAAACGTGTTGTCCACTGTCTTTCATGTTCTGTTGTCAACTGCCTGGTGTGGGATAAATGTTAAACGCTGATAATCACTAGTAATAAATGTTACTTGAATGAACAAATGAATGAATGAATAAAATAGGCACAGATTCTGGAAGGAATTTTTCAAATTCTTAGCAAACCCCAATGGGCAGAAAGGAAAACTTTCTTTGCCTTAATAGTATTTCGATAGGGACTACTCTATAAAGTACCACTTTTATATATTTATGGTGTAATGATGACTAACATTTTTGTTCATCCTGATATGATATTGAATTACTCTCTTTATAGACCAAGATTATGCTCTGTTCATTATCATGAATATGAATTATATTTTTGTTAAAAATTTAAAAAATATGTAATCTCAGCTAATTATCATCTAGAATATTTAAATTAATAATGATTGTTTTGGGTCTTATATGACATGGCTTTTTAAGAAAATGACATTTTGTATCTTTATTTAACAGGAATGGTTTTTAGGAAAAGCATTACATGATGAAGAATCTACAATAATTCACCATTACGCCTTTTCTGAAAATCCTTCAGTTTTTAAATATCCAGACTTTGCTGCTGGCTGGGCCCTTAGTCTTCCACTTGTAAACAAGTAAGAATATTTTAGTTTTTTTTTTTGGCCTGTGGATCAGCTTTCATTTTGCTGAGCGTTATTGTAATGGACCACCCTCAAGTGGGTTTTCAGCTGGAGGCAGTGTGTGGTAGAGCGGGGGTACCTGGAGGTTCCAGCTTCTGCTCGGTCACCTGCCAGTCCCCTCAGACTCATGCTCAGTCTTTGCAAAACAAGGTGAATAATAAACCTCAAGACCGAGGGAGGGCACGGGAATGCTCTGAGCGCTCTCCCCACTGCTGCGAACGCACCTGGTTAGCGACAGCTGTGACTTGATCCCCAGTTAGAAAAATGAATCAGTGACATGCCTGGGGTTGGGAGCGAGTGACGAGCCACGTGCGTGGGCACACGTATCACATCGTGGGCCAGGCGGGAGGGACGGCTCTCGGCAGGCGCCGTGGATATGCGGGCCCAGCCGTTCGTGAGTGTATTTGCAGTGATGCTTTTTTGGATGTGAAAAGTGGAGGTGATTAAACGGCCCCTCGATCTGCATACTTTTGGTTAATTATTGTGTTTTTGTTCTTCGGGGGACAGGGAGTTGCTAAAGCAGCGTGGCTTTACGTCTTCGGAGATGAGAGGGTGTCTGTTGTTTCTTAGTTACGTGCGCTGTCTCTGGGGTTTCAGTCCTGAAAACAAGTAGCCGGTTGTAGGTGTAGACGTGGCAGGTGCCCCGTCACCCATTGGTGGCCACCGAAACTGCCCTGGACAGTCGCAAGTTCCTTACGGTGTGGCCCCCGGTTCCACACCAACCCCTGCCGTGTCGCCCCTCGCTGCGGGGGGACAGCGCGTGAGGCTCCGCGAGGCAGGCGCCCTGGAGGTCCTTTCGGGGGACCGAGCTGTGCGTGGACGCAGACACGCGTGGGGTCCACTTGGCTTGAAAGGTCACGATAGAGGGGGGTTCATTTAGGGGCTGAGACAGTGGCTTCCTGATGGTGGCGGAGGCCGCAGCCCCGGGACCCCCGTTTCTGTGGTGTGAATCTGGGGACCAGCGCCTGCTGTCGCTCGGAGACCAGGCGCCCCCACGACTCTCCCCAGCGTCCAGCCTGATGTCTGCGGCCCGCTCAGCCACCTTTGTTCAGCCTGGACTCCTGAGGAGCTGTGAGCTCCATCCCTGTCCCTTCGGGCCCTGGTGGCCGCAGCGTCCCTTTGTGCAGCCGCGCTCGCCCGCACCTGGCCTCTCAGCGCGGACCTGTGCGGGCGCCGCCTGTGTGTGGTTGTGTGGGTGTGTGGGTGTGTGTGTGGTGGGGGGGTGTCCCGTGGCTCCCCCGACTCGGCGTCGCACGCTCCCCATCAGTCCGCTTCTCTCCCTGTCCCTGGAGCGCCACCTGAGCCCCTTGAGAGAGGGACAGTACGGTGTCACCTTCCTGTGACGTTCACAGGAAGTGCCTCCTTCCCCCAGGGCTAAAGAGGAAAGCGGCAGCCCTACCCCCGCACCACCCCCGGTGCGCAGACCCCGGAGACCCCGTGCGGCAGGAACCCCCTCCCAAGACCCCGTGCTGGAAGGCAACCCCCCCCCGCCCCCGCCAAAGACCCCGTGCGGCAGGCCCAGACCCTATC